TGCCCGGGGCTATAACTCCTGCGGCCGTGAAGGGCCCTCTCGGAAAACAGCGCGGCGCAGAGGTGCCGCTGACACTGCTTCTAACAAGCATCGTCGGCGCACGCGGGCGGCTCGTCGCCCCGCGCCAACCCCTTCTCTCCACTGCCTCTCTTGTCCCCCTCTCCTTCCAACTCCATGCCTCTCCCCGGGCAGGCGCACACGCCCCTTCTCCTTCTCCTCCTCCTCCTCCTCCTCCTCCTCCTCCTCCTCCTCCTCCTCCTCCTCCTCCTCCTCCTCCTCCTCCTCCTCCTCCTCCTCCTCCCCCCCCTCCTCCCCCCACCCCCCTTCCTCCTCCACCTCCTCCTCCTCCTCCTCCTCCTCCTCCTCCTTCCTCCTCCTCCTCCTCCTCCTCCTCCTCTCTTCCTCCTCCTCCTCCTCCTCCTCCTCCTCCTCCTCCTCCTCCTCCTCCTCCTCCTCCTCCTCCTCCTCCTCCTCCTCCTCCTCCTCCCCCTCCTCCACCTCCTCCTCCTCCTCCTCCCCCTACACCTCCTCCTCCTTTTGACGCTGCACCAGCTGTGATAAGATGAGCCGTGGCGTCCATGAGATGACCACACCAGCAAAAGCAAAGTAGCGACAACCTCCTCCTCCTCCTTCTCCTCCTCCTCCTCCTCCTTCTCCTCCTCCTGCCTGTGCCTTGAGCTTGGCCCCTCTGCACCCGATCGGGCCTCGGCAGTGACAGCCACTAACCCTCAGCCCCGCCCAGGCCCGCAGGCGTGCCCCGCGCTGCCGCAGGAGACCCCCCGCAGAACTCCAAGGACTGCCGGCCTCCCTTCCCCCCGCTGCCTGGACCATGCCGAAGGCAATGGTAAGGTGATGGTAGACCCTGCTGTCATTTTTGTTAATTAAGGTGATGGTAGACCCTGCCGTCATGTTTGTTAGGACGAAGCCAGAAAGAGGAGAACATCGGGTGAAGATACGTTGAGAATCTCTGAGATCCTGCGGCTCTGGAGGATGTCTTGGGCGCCACGGCCTTCTCGGAGCGTTCCCGGAACGCTCTGAGAGCGTTCCGGAACGCTCTAGAACGGGTTGCTCCTCGTCCTAGCCCCGCCCGATCTGCGGAGTCATGTGTGCCTCGAGGCGGCTGAGCACGAGGCCCGCGAGACTCGGCCGCATCACATGTGCTGAGGAGAACGATTTTTTTGGGGGGGAAAAGTGCTGAAGGAGGCACCTCGGCGTCGCTTCGCAGCCGCCACCTCACAAATCGTCGTTCGGCGACCTGACCTTCATGCTGGCGATTGGCGTCTTCTGCCGGTTGCGCAGCTCGAAATTGTGGCTGTGGTCGGTCTGGGACAGGTGGGAGCCCTCCTCGATCCACACGAACCCGGAAGTGCTGTGCTTGAGCTCGATTTTCGCACCAGGATCAAGTATAGGGTTGAAGAGGCAAATCTTCCACGGACGCGCAGCCCTGGTTTTCGGGTCTGGGTTGAGGTCAGCGACTACGATGGCGCGGAACTGCATGTCCGTAACCGCAGGACGAAAGAAGAGTTGGCCTCTACCTCGACCGGCGCCATCTCTCCAGGCTTCGTGCCCAGACCCCCGGCGTCATGATTTGTCATAACGTCGACCCTCCAAGGTCTCGACCCATTCCCCGGGACCGGTTCCTCGTCCTGAATCGGTTTTTGACGGTCCCGAGGCCCGGTCCTCACCGGCCGACAACATGGAAAAACCTCTCGTCATGATTTTGTCATTGCCCGAGGGGGCCTGGGTGACCGCCCAGAATATTGAAGGGGCCCCTCCACTTCCCATATTTCCCAATATTTTCTGGGGAATCGACGATCAGTTGTGTCTATGTGTTTTTCCCCTCCTGAAATGTGTCGCTCTCCGCCCTGCCGAGGCCAGGCACGCCGTACACAGCCCGACGGCGGCCTGCCTGGCCGCCTCCACCGCAGCCCGCTCTCCGCGGCCGCACGCGCCGCCGAGCAGCCTGGCGGCCGCGCCGCCGAAGCCCCGGCGCGCCGGCGGAGCTGGCCCGATGCCGACCTCCGTGGGATCCGACGCTCCAACAAAAATTGGAGCAGGCGGTTTTTGGCAGTGTTCGGCCTCCGGGGGCCCTCGCCAGGCCTCCATGGAGCGTTAGAACACGACTCGGGACGAGAAAGCGGTCCCGGGGAAGTGGTCCGGACCTCCTGGGTCCCCCCCAAAAAACTTGGAGCAGCCGGATGTCTGGGATTGTGCCGAGGCAGCGAATCAGACGCACACTCAGCAACGGGCGGGCGGGACATGAAAGTGCGGGGCGCGCTCGACCGAGCACGCGCGAACCCTCACGGGCGGGTCGGGTCGGGCGGGCGGATGCAGACAGGCGGGTCGGGCTGGGCGGGCGGGACATTGAAGTGCGGGGCGCGCTCGACCGACCACGCGAGACCTAACGGGCGGGTCGGGCGGGCGGACCCCAAGCGGCGGGTCGGGTCGGGTCGAGCGGGCGAACCCTGACGGGCGGGTCGGACGGGAGGAGGGCGGGCGGGACAGTAAAGTGAGGGGCACGCTTGGCCGAGCACGGCCGAACCCTTACGGGCGGGTCGGGTCGAGCGGGCGGACTCTAGCGAGCGGGTCGGGTCGGGTCGGGCGGGCGGACCCTAACGGGCGGGTCGAGTCGGGCGGGCGGGACATCAGAGTGTGGGGCGCCCTCGACCGAGCACGCGCGAACCCTGACGGGCGGGTCGGGTCGGGCGGGCGGACCCTGGCGGGCGGGTCGGGTCGGGCAGTCTCGCCGACGGCAGCCGGTTTCGCCGACGGCAGCTGGTTTTGCCGACGGAGCCGGTTTTGCCGGCGAAACCAGCTGGGCGAAACCAGCCCTCGGCGACAGCAGCGGCCGCCGACCCCCCGAGCCTATTCTTGGCGGCTTCGGGGCAGAACTCCGGCCACTTGCGGCCATTCCGGGACCATCCTGGCATCCCCGGAGCGCGAGGCGCAGCCGCCGAAGGCCCCCCTGTGGCTGGAGAGCCGCCACGGGCCGACGAGACATTTGAGAACCTCGACCCTCGACCCTCGAGCCTGGAACATAACGCATCCCCCCGCAACGTTGCCCCTGACGTGAGGGTCCCCCAAATTTAGTAGGACGTCCACGTCGTCGTAGACGTCGGTGGCGACGACGGGGGTGGAGGGAGGTGAAAAAGGAGTAAGAGGAGGAGGAGGAGGAGGAGGAGGAGGAGGAGGAGGAGGAGGAGAGGAGG